GGAAATTTTTAACAAAATATACGTTTGACTTTACACAGGAAATTTTTATTTTTGAACATATATATCTATTTATTATTGAGTACGATTGCTCCAAAAGCTACATCGGCTTTGCTGCCAGGAAGGGAAATATATTTCCTGGGAATGGGGAAGGGGCAATCTCATTTCTTAAACTTTCTTCGCTCTAAATTACACATACAAATTTGCATAGTCCGCGTGTGATACACACTGAGCTCTATATAGTAGAGCTCAGTGGTGATACATCGAAGAACTGGTAGCCTGCATGGCAGGCGGTCCCTAAAATCGGGCAAGCCTGGGTAGTCACCCCCCGGAAAATAGCCAGCTTGTGGCTGCAACTGCAAGTTTACAGTGATAAAATATATTTCTAGACTCTAGTACTTTTGTCTTTTGAAATAAAAAGCAAGATGAACACCTCTCCTTGGTCGGCAATTGTATTAACGTGCCCATCTCTGGAATATGCTTATGCTGTTCAACGGGGTAGGCTTTTGAAATTATGAATTTATACATCAGTATACTCGTGTCTGTATACCCGTTGTCTTGTTTATACTGCTTGTAATAATATACTGCTTTAATCTGCTATTGAGTGCGATGGTCTATTTATTAAGATGAATCTATGAACACTTGACGAACTTCAATACGTAAATATATTCCCGCACTGTAGCGTCTCATCTCGAAATTCGATCCGGTTGAAATACGACCGTTTGCCACGTTTAATAATTTACGTCATAAAGCACAATTATTTTTCCGGAGTTTGTTGTTCATTTTCATATATTGGGAATAATATTGTTATAGGTATTACTATACTGTATTGAAACGTATTACACCTTCTGAGACCTCTGCCAGCAGGGAAAATTTAATACGCCTGACTTGGCTATCAGTTTATACTTCAATGTTTGACGCAGGTGGTTTAGTTACTTCATCTTTATAATTGTGAATGGGAGAAGCAGTTACTTTTTTGATAAAATAGATCCAAGTTGACCATACAATTATGCAGTTTACTGCTATTGTTGTTACTTGTCCAGATATAAACCAAGCACATGCGGTTCAAAGAGGTAAGGGAATACTATGCTATAAATAATATAACATTTATATATTGGATGAATAATAATTGTTTGGCATTGTAGTGAGTTTTTTTTGGCAATTCAAGATACATTTATGAATTCCCAGTTGTTTTGACCAATCCTATCATAACAAAAGACGAGTATTAATTTATAGTAAGAAAATATAAACTAAAAATATTATAGTTATATATATTAATAATTAATCAGAATGATGTGCTATTCACATTTGGTAATAATTTCCTCTTATAAAGAATACTACATAAGGCCACATAAAAAAAAAATAGTTGGTTAGCGTCCCCGACTGCCCACAAAAAGGGCCCCGCTCAGGATTTTTTTTTATTTTTTATTTAAAAGAAAAACTTTTATTGATCAACGGGCTCTAATGTATGTAGTATTTCTGTTGACTGTAGTCAATTGTGTTAATAATTTGCGAAATTGCGTGCGAAAATGACGGTATGAATCATATTTTGAAATATATAAAAAAAATATCTGTACTGCACAAGAAAATCCAGTTTCGGACCTAACAGTGAGTAAACCAAGGCGTTAAAAATTAGTAAAAATTTTAAAAAAAAAGCGCCCGCCCACTTTTTGGCAAAAGCTAAGGACGCTAACCAACTTTTTTATGTGGCCTAAGTAACAAAAGTTCAACATATATTTTCCTGAAGATGCTGTGCTGAGTGGTTATATTACTGTTATTACTACCTGAAATAAACAAGCAGAAACTTGACGTTTCAAGCGAAGGCCCTTCGTCACATTTTGGGGTAAATGTTGACTATTTGCACGCAAAACATTTCACTGTAGATACTGTGTTTAACGTTGCTTCGCTAAAATTATAGTGAAAATTGGATTAATAAATATTTTTGGCATGTAAATAGTCCAAATAAGTAATGAAATCTCTGAACCTCTATCTTGGATTCCCGTCGTCCTACCTGCGTCCTACCTGCATTACGTCATCTCATTTCTTATTTTTTTTGTGCGCGGACCTAGACTAAAAATTGTTTGTCTGCGCAATTTTCAAAATTTATATGCGCATATTTTTGGCGAACGATCTGTCTCCTTTGTGCATTTTGCAAACTTTCCAGTCTGGTAGTGTAATACCTATTGAGTGACCGTGCTCTCCCCTTGACAAGTAAAATCATTTGATAAAATAAAGTAGAGCACATCAGGACACATTGCCATTATATAAGAATTACTACTTTTCCTTTTACTCTATCCAAGATGATAAAATTAATGCTTTCCTGTAGGCAGTTGCGATATTGAAAAAAATCGATATATATCGATATCGAAAAATAATATCGACTATATCGAATTATGCAAATGAGAAAACGTAATTTAGTCAACTTGCATGTATTACGCATCACAAACAGTTAAAAAGAAGTGCATGAAACCAGTCATGGTACGTCTCAAAATTTATTAACAACGGTTTATTTGTCATCTCCAACTCAGCTTTTAATTTCAATTGCACACGCACTTGTATCATAAATTTGCAATTGCCGCCATACACACGTTGTCTAAACTTCACCAATGAAAACAATAATTGCAGAATAATCAGAGATTAATTAAGTTGTTTAGTTACAACTTTCAATATTTTCGATATGCGAAAAATTGAATATCGAATATCGATATTTTTGGAATATAAATATTTATCGAAAATATCGATATATGGCAACTGCCTACTTTCCTGAAAATTAAAGAAATATCACTGTACCTTACATAGAACTTGACCTTTATCAGTCGAAAGGAAAGATACCTGCAGATGCGCTATTGCTCGCAATTGATGACCCAAAGCCTGGAATTGGTAGTGGCAGCGCAACACTGAATGCCTTGCTTGTTGTCACAGAACATTTGAGCGCCAGGGCAGGCTACACGGTATGTCTTTTTGAAACTACTGTCTTTATATCAGCTAGGGGTCTGGAATTCGGGTATCCAAATTTGGGATTTGGCTTACAGTGTCCTTTCTACAACGGTCTGCATATTAACCAATATTTATAGTCATGTATTCATTCATTAAATTTTGTGTAGGTTGTTGAAGCCCAGGTTTTAAAAAATGCAAGAATTCTTATACTACATATGGTGAGCAAAATTATTCATAATATTCTAAAACATTATAACTACTTTTAATTAGATGCTATAGCCATCCCTGATGATTGAGTTTAGTTTTATTGTATAGGAACAAATAGATTCAATATGAATTAATTATATATTACAGGGCCATTATTTTCCATTTTCATCAGTTGGCAGAGGGTTTACAGCCTTGCCTTGCATGCGATATGACTCAAGTTATGCCGCGGTTCCAGAGAATTTTGCTTCAAATCTTGAAAACTTGTTGGTCACTTTAACTTTAATTGTAAGTATATGGATTTATTTACAAGGTTTTATCCCCAAACAATGTCCTGCTCTGGACACAATCATCAGAAAAATTGGATCCAGGATCTGGCATTGGCAAAAGCATGCTAACCCCCAAGCTAGAGTAATCTACTATATGTTTTTCCAATTGACATGGTGCATAAATGCATTGCTGCTGCTGGCAAAAGTTCAAGGGTGGGTTGACTACAAAATTTTTGTAGTTTGCTATAACTACAGCTACTTCAAAAATATGTAGTCAGCTACAACTACTGCTACTTTTGAACAAAGGTAGTTCGCTACTGACTACAGCTACTGCTT